TGATTTTACTTCCTATTTTGAAGGAGTTTCTTTGGGTTAAGAAGCTTTTGTCTTTGTCATCCTGCCTGTCTTCTAGAAAGTAGGAACTAAGAGTCTCTCCCTACTGATAATACACGGTGATTGAGTAAAAAGAAATGATTACACAGCTGCCCTGAGATAATTCTAGATAATTGGCATCTTAATCTAGATTCGAAAGCTATTCTGATCATTTCACATTTTCCCCCAAATATGTGTCTTCTCTAAACGGGTCTTCCTTCTCTTTACCTGCTTACTAAAAATAAAAGGAAGTACCACCATTTCATAAATACACTTTACAAATCAAACCAGAAACATCACTTTAAAGATTGTTTTCTGGTAATTTACCTATTACTGCACTTCCCTCAATGCAATATTTCCCTACGTGGCAAGTGTCTTGCTTATAATAAAGTGAAATAGGGCTAGCAATCAGTTGCCTCAGCAACCAAAAAGACCTAATGTGCAAATTTCTTTAATGAACAGCAAGAGGCCAATTATATGGACAAGAGTATATTTAGTTGGTTTCTTCAACTGAAACTATTACACCAAAGTGGGAATTGCAGAGTTAGTCAAGATTTACCAAACCAAGAATGAGGGCAATTTTTCAGTAGGACATGTTGCCAGTGAGAAATCTTAATAATATTAAAACAACAGATTTCATAAATACATTTGCATATATGGTGCCCCCAAATGCAGCAAAACGTTAACTTAATTTTTAAGATGAATGCAAATAGAGATGGCCAGATTCTCAAGTAATTCTATCTAAGAATAGTATTAAACATTGTTTTTTATTTTCCAAATGTCTAGATTGGTTTTATTAAAGAAAGCAATTTAAATTATGTCTTTGTAATTAACCTTTTTTTCAGCTTGGGGATAGATGCAATTATACTGAGAAGCAAGATAAAAAATCCAAAGACATAAATCTGTTTAAGATTCTTATAATTATGCAGCAGGCTAAAGTTACTATGATTATAATTATATACAAAGTGGGTGTTGGAGAATTTAGCATCTAGAGATATTTTCATAAAAATAATTAAGGGGTGTAGATGAACCACATTAAAATTGATATTTTGTGAATCTTCAGTGTGCAGAATTTAATAGCATTAAGTCTTTTCATTTGTAGAATTATTGAGGATTTCAAGATTGTCATTATTTTTATTAGCTTTTTTGACCCTCTCAATTTCCCTAATCTAGTGTCAAAGTGTACTGAAGACAGCAACTTCTATAAGACATATTTTGCATCCTGGCAACTGATGACTGGGTAACTGGATAATTTAGGCAATTAGAACTGCACATTGACAATAGTTTGGGTTCCTCTGGAAGCTCCCTCCAGCCTTGAGAGCTCGTGATGGCTGTTCATAAGAAAACAGGAATAATACCTGCATACATTCAGACAACAGATCTCAATTCTATCTTGCCAAAGAGCCATTTTATTACAAGTTTAGGCAGGGGGTTTTCAAAGTGAGGCTTTTTGGGTTCAGGAATTTCTTTTGCTTTAGTATACCTCAGAAGAAGTCTGTAGTTACAATGAGCTAACGACACACCTTGTGAGGAATGGAATGGAACTGCAGAGAAAGCACAGCGAACCAAGATAAGGACTGAGTCACAAGAGGCCAGGAAGGAGAACCAGTGCCTGCCGACACTCCCCATTCTCGAGTCCAAGACATCGCCTGCTTACCTGTCGGACCCAGCATGCCTCAGCCACACATGCAAATTGGTACCATTACTGTTTTATTCATGAAACATATTTTTAAATTAAAGGAGTCATTACCCAAAATAAGCACCCTCCACGACATTTGTGCATGCAGAGCATCTGAACATTCACATTTATGTCCTCAGAAAACAGAGCCAACGATTTGCATTCAATATGGAAACGCACCCTTTTTTTTTTTTTTCAAAGCACTTATACAAAAATAGCTGTGGCTTTTGCCATTTCAGAAACCGAGTCATCTGTTAAGCCTGGGTAACGCGTAATAGAGCTCCTCCATCCCCCAGCCTTCACCCCCCCCCCACATCCATTTCTGAATTCTGCATTTCTTAAACCCTTCCACTGCCGGTCTTAACATGTGGTGTGCATTACAAATAAATGTTGGCTTCTGTTCGTAGGAACGGTCATTGGGCGTTGCCAAAAAGAACGACTCTCCTTATGAATGCCAGATACACCTCCCCCATTCCTTTGGTCTGGATTAAAAAATGCAATAAGGGGAATGCTTTCCTGGATGTACAAAGATGTAAAAAAAAAAAAAAAAGGGAAACGGGGTGCTGAAAATCGAGGTAAACCTGCAGGATCATCTCCTGGCTTTTGTCCTATGAGTTAGATGAAACCAGGGTCTTACAGAGAAGACCATGAGAAGGTTGGTACAGGGAGTATACTTTGTGCATGCAAGGTGTGCTGTCACAGGAATTGGGATCTGGAAAAGAACTATGCACGGACAAAATGTATCACTATCTTTGTGTCTCAGCAGAGAGGGCGAGTGTTTAGAATGAGCTAGGCGTCATTGTGCATCCTCTCTGTATGTGGCCCCCTGCTGACCTTCACCATGAGACCTAACTTTTGGAGTGCTGCCTCCCCAGCAGTCATGCATTTGCAGCAAGACCAGACGAGAATCTCGTCTCCCACGACTTAAGTTAATTTCCAGGTAAATGTCAAGCATGAGAAGGAAGGCCCTTACCTGTCACTGTAGGCAGCAGCAGTGGCAGGGGTGGGCTGGGCGTAGCGATATGCAGCGTAACCACCCTAAAACACAAGGGGAAAGTGGACTTAGGAACGCAGAGGAAGCCAGCTCAGGGCGCCCGATTGTGAGAACACATCAGAACAGTGGTTACCCGCCTCTAACAAACTAAAGTGGAGGTTAATGAAAGCTTAGTATGAAAACACGCCAGAAAGCTGGGGGGTGGACCACCAACCCCAGCTGGATGTTAAAGGTTAGCAGTTGTAAGCATATCACAAAGGGACAACCCAGAGACCCTTTGAAAGAGGTGTACCTACATGTTAATTAATGGTAATTGTTTTGGGGTGGGGAGGATTATAGGGAATTATTTAAATGCTCTTTATGCTTTGCTGAACTTTCCAGATTTTCAAGAATGAGTATGCTTTACCTTTACTTATCAGCTATTAACTTACATTTTATTCAATCTTTGATTCCTTCCTTAAAACTCCAATATTGGTCAAGCTAATGCCCTGCTGTCTTACTTTGATATTTATTAAAAAAAAATAAGATAACCCTCTGATTGAAAGTGTATTAGGCATCTCTTGCACGTGTTCAACCACTAAACCACTAAAGCAGTTAAAGAAGACTGTCTCCAGCTTTCTAAATATCACGTAATGATTAAAAAAAGGAAGAGTGAGCACTTAAAAATTCCGTCTTTTCAGCTAAAGATATCACACTGGTTCAGATGGAGAATTTGTTTGGTGTGGAAAATATAAAGTCTTCCAATTTGTAAATAAAATCATTAGGAGAGAAAAAAATCTGACAAAAATAATTAACATTTAGTTGTATGTACCAGTAATTGCAATCGTTCAATTAAGCAGAGGACAAACAAATGGGCATATTCTAAAGGAACTGTGTTCAGTGGAGCATTGATTATCAAACTGTGAAAACAGAGCTCCTTGCTCAGCAGACCACAGCGATACAACCACTGTCGAATGATTTCGGCACAGTTAACAAGCAGGATCCAGTCTCCACCGATAACACAGGGAATACATAGTCCCATAATCATCTGGGAGAAGGGTTCTCACCCTCACTGTAAAGAGGCAATTCAGGACAGACTGCGATGTCACAGGGCATCTAACAGCATAAATAAATGGTGTAATGGGGGGATTTAATGGTAGGGTTTTGGGTGGAGTTCATTATATTTGGCTCCAGATACAGGATAGAAAACAGATGAATGAGAAAATTGCAAGAAGCGTCGCTATCACTTACACAGCAATTCCAAAAAGCTAGTTTCTCCTTAATCAAGTTCCTTCTTTGGATCATGCTAGAGAGGATACCTCCAAGACATGCTGACAGATAATCACCAAAAATTTGGAGCCAGTATTAAAAAAAAAAAAAAAAGTCTCCCTTGAAAATCCCCAATAATTTGGAGCCAGTATTAAAAAAAAAAAAAAAAAGTCTCCCTTGAAAAACAATGTGAAAGTTAAAAAAAGAGGTCTTAGCCAGATACCACCTGGTGTTCCAAACACCATGTTCTCTGATTAGGAACGGAGAAACTCATTAAATGTGCTGAGGAGATGGAAAACCAAAGCAGTTGTCACACCCAGCACCAAGCTCGAGATACAGAGTGATGCGCTGAGGAATACAGACCGATTGGCTGAGGGAAAATCGGGGGTCACCAGATTTCTGGAGCCATTCTTTTCATCTGCTTGCCCATCTCTTCAGCTTTCATCACGCAGCCATAAAAGACACAGGTGTGCAGGTATGTATGTTCCTGAACTTAATGAGGAAGGGAGGGGCTGGCATTGGCTTCCTGATTGCTAGGAGGCCTTAGCTGGAACCAGCTGAAAGCTCTGAACGGAGAAAGTTTGAGTGTGTGTTTTATTTTTTCTTTCACTTCCAGAACGGAAAAGAAAAGTTATTGCAAAGTTCTTTGCATCAAGTGCCATGTCAATCAGTCATGCCTTGGTGACTGTGAATTTGGTCCCAGTAAAGATTTCTGGCCACGTCCTGCTTGCAAACCTTCTTTGAACTCTGTAGGACTCCCCCAACTTCTGCAATGTTTTCCATCAATGGAAGTAGGTAGCAAGTTTGGTAAGTGGGAAAAACTGTGGCAGTGCAAATAGAATATACCTAAAACAAACCTCACTGACTATTAGGTTGATACTTATTGCATGAATATAAAATGGATGTGTGTACACCTGGGATCCTTCAGAGGGACTTATCTATGATACTCTAGGAAAGATCCATCCTCTGTATGTCTGCATAATGACTTGGCCATTTAGAGAAAATAAATGTGTGTTTCCATGCAAGACAGGCACAAGTGGTCAATGTACTGACACTTATCTTTGTTATTTAAGAAAGTGTTTACAAGTATTCCTGATTCATGAGTCAAGGTCATAGTTTGCTGAAGTCTGTGGAACCAGTGGAGAGATTTTGACCTTGGTCAGTGATCTTGCTGTCCAGTAGACCTGATGATATCAGAAATGTTCTATATCTTTGCTGTCCAGTATGGTAGCTGCTTGTCCTAAATGTCTACTGAATCCTTGAAATGTGGCTGGTACACCAAATGGAGTTTTTGATTTATTTAAGTTGAGTTCATTTGAATTTAAATGCACACAACCACATGGGGCTGGTGGCTACAGTATTGGACAGTCCAGGCCTAAGTGATCCCTGAAATATGTAATAATTGGAAAAAGAAAAGGACTGGATGTCACCACATCTATATACTGCATTGTCTTCATTCGCTATTTTTCTTCTGTGTGAAATCCATTTAAGGGGAAAACCAGAGTTGTGTATTAACTCCGTATATGTGTTCATACACTGTAAAATAATTTAAAAAATACAAATTGCTTTAATTAGCCGTTCTAACAGGTGACTCTAATCAGTTTTATTGCCCTATATTTTGCAGCTCGTTGAGCATAGGCAAAGCTTCTGCAAGGTTCTGGAGTAATGTCTGAAAAAAGAAGCACTCACTTCTATTTGTGGTCACGAAACCATGTTCACATTGAAACTGGTCCTCCCAGACCTTAGGACAAAAAAATGCATCCTTGACAAGTAGATTTTTCCCACCACCAAACCAAAGGTAAAAAAGGGATGACAAACACAAAATGGTCTACACTCCCTACTCACAAAATGTACTCACTTTCATGTGCTAGGCAGCAAAATACAAGTGTGAACTTACAGAACATACACATTTTAAATGTCATTATGGATTTCCCCTCTCAACCTGGCCACCACCACCAGATGCGGCCATGGGAGATACTGACTCACATGGTCAGAAACATTTCCTCTGTTAGCAAGACTTCTGAAGGTCCACTGGGAGATGTTATCAACTAAGGACCTTTAATGATACTCCAATGAACCATTTTCAAAATTGTGCTTGGTGGGATATTCATAGTGGCAGGGAAGGGCAAGGTTTCATGACCAAACAGGTTTGGGAGATGCTGAGTGAAATGAAATGAAACTTGATACACATTTGTGGAACTTTGTAAAGCATTATTAATGAGCCCTGTGGCTCTCCATTTTATCACAGAATGGTTTGACAACGGAAATCACACGTTTAAACTTAAGAGCATACTTTTGGAAAAAGATGTTCAAATATCCAAATGGCGAATTGCTTAGGAAGCGAGGTGAAATTTTTGTCATTGGTGGGGACACAGGGATTGGGTAGGGCTTTTCCTTTCTGAGAATATCCAAGGATCTCACTTTGTCTAAAACAGGTGGATTAATAATATACATAAAATTGATTCACTATAATGACATTTAAAGAACATTTGCAAAATGTAAAACATAAATATAAATCACTACTCTTTTATCTGCGTATGTTCAGCTATTTTTGAAATATGGCAATAGAAGTCCTGTTTTCTTAGAAAGTGAAAATAAAAGTTGATGTCAGGAATTTTAATTATTCGGTCCTCTCCTAGGTCCAAGTACCCATTTTTTATATTAGATTTCTTATTAAAACTTGATTAATCTCACAGTAAAAAAAAAAAGTACCTTCTTAATTGACTTAATACTAAACCAAAACGAGGATGCAGGTTACAGGGAAACCCATGTAATAAAACCCCCACTGATCAATAGTTTTACATTCCTCTTTCCTTTCATTCAACAGTTTTAATGTTGGTTTTAGACCAAATTTGGAGACTTAGCCAGCTACACTTTGATGGATGTGTTGATTTTTTTCTGTTTCCTTCCTACAAGTTCGTTCATTTGGGTGTTGCTTCAGCAGTGGGAAATAGGCTTGAGAGCTACAGCAAAAGTTGTGAAATAAATTTACAAGAAGCTACAATGAAACCAGGGGAAGTTATGTTTGCTATGCTGACCCTCAGTGCTGGATGTATAAAAGGCTTTTTGGTTTAACCATCCCAGTTGACTCCAGGAACCTACTAAAAAAATTTTTTCAGACAATCGGTTCAGTGAAACCCTTGAATTATTTTCACTGAGTTTATATTCATTGAAGCCAGATACATTTTAAGCCAAGAAATGAAGAGCCAAGCCAGACCTCCATTTTGACACACAATCTAGCAAAGAGGGAAACATTTCATGACGAGCATCTCTCTTCTAGAAGAATTCACATCAAAACTGGAAAATTCAGTTAAGTCTTTCCTCCTTCTATGTTAGAGACCATCTCCCCTCCCCGGAATTGTCTTGTTAGTAGGATTTCACAGCAAACCCACAATCAATAGTGATGAGTTTTTCCACCAGCCGGGATTTCATACCTGCAGCAATTTATTGCCATACACAGGCTCTTGATACACTACTCTATAAGGAAACAGAAATGTAATGTTTTTCAATGCAAAAATGAAATAAAAGAAAATGCATAAGTCAGACAGAAATTCCAGAGCAATTCATTTACAAGTTTGCTTCTCTTATTTCACTAAGACCTAAGAGTGACCCATCAAACCAAAAGAAAGACCAAGCAATGCCAAGCCTTTTTTAGCTACAAAATCTCTGTAACTGAGAGTATCAAGACGGTGGGACTGGGGATCAAACCGCACTCACCGTATTTGTGTTTTCTTTTAAAGAAGAAGAAAGGATATTTTCATGGCTCCTTCCCCTACCAGCATATTTCAATAGTTCA